AATAAGATCGTTCTGCTTTATCTTGAATGAATATTTGTGTCATGTTCTTTTGAATGATCTTGTTTGTTACAATACTTTTACAAGTTTCCTGATCAGATGTATAATATTAGTCTTATGAAGTGCTCGAATTATAGAAGTGTTATCACAAGTGGCCTAAAATACTCCTTTTATATATGTCAAAATAAAAACAATGGGCAACAAAAAGATAAAAAGAAAAAGAAGAAGAGTCCAAAGGAAAGTTGTGGAAAAACAGAAGAGGCGATCACTGGTCCTCGCCTCCAAGCTCTGCGGGCGCGACCTCTATATCCGTCGGTTAGTCGTTGACCGTCCGATTAGCTGTTGGGTCCTCAGGGACGTATTCCTCTGACTGGTCATCCTCAAGAGGAGGCTTTTGTCCTTCTTCCCCCTCGACATCATCAGCTTCGGCCATGGAAGCGGGGATATCCTGATATTCATTCAGGGGGTCAAAGAGGTCAATCCCCAGATTCCTCAGTTGTAAGCTGTAGATGGCATGTATTACCCAGTCAGTGACTTTCCTCTCGATTTTAAGAATTTGCTGCTTCATCTGCTTAGTTAATGAAGCGCCTCACCATTGGAACAGCTCGAGATCCACCTTCAGAGTCCTTTTTTGCTTCTCAGAGTTTTCCCACAGTCAAGCTCTGTCTTCCTTCGCCTTCATGGCACGCTCAAAGTTCACCTTTAGCTCATTCTCTTTCTCGCCGCACTCTTTGGTGAGTCTAGCCACTGTCCTTTGGAGCTCCTTGTTCTCCTCGCCTCTCTTTTCAAGCTCGGCCTTCTGAAAGTCCACTGTGTGAAGGGAAAAATTTCTCTCTACCAAGTACTGATTTCCCTGAATGTAGACAGCTTTCGCCTCTGTGTCCAGAGCCGTGAAGTCCTATTTTAGCTTGATATTCTCTTCCCTCAGCTCGTGGAACCCTCCAACAAAGTCCAAATTGATCTTCTGTTGGGCCATATGCAAGGCGGGCAAGGACTGTATGAGAAAAGAAACAAGAGTTACCTCCTTTTTCCCGAAAATTATAAAAGTTAGAAAATCAACTGATATTAGAAAGTCCTGAACAAGGACGAGCTATTTTACCCGGCTTTGCAGCTGAAGCAAAGTAGCCATCAGGTCTGCAGGTCGGGAAGCCACGAACTCCTCGAATGTCATAGCCAATTAGCATTCCAGCAAGGTATACACCACCGGCTGCAGGTGCTCTGGGAGTTTCCCCATGGAATCCAACATAGGCATGTCTGACCCTAAAGGAACTAGCACGTCGTCGACCTGTTGTTTTCCTGCTCTCTTTTGGGCAACCGCAACCTCCCCCTCTCCTCTATGCAAGCTCTCAGGGACCGCCAAAGTGCCAGGCGCGCTCCTCGGGGGCACCCTCGAGCAGAAAGCCTGGTAAGCCTGCGATCCCCCTAACAACATCCTAAAGCCCTTTGGCTCGGACTTCGATTCCTCCTCGGCAAGCAGCTGCTTCCTCTTCTTGGTTTTTTGGCCTATAGTTTTCTGCTTAGCGATGCGAGTAGCCACGGGCCGAGAAGTTTCTCCACTTTGCTTCGTGGTTATTCGCTTTTTTACGCTAATCTGAATCCCTCTTGTAGGGATATCGCTAGGGATCACCTCGATTGACTTGGTCAGGTCTACCCGGGGAAACATGAACTCCTTAGTCCTTGTCGATGGCCTTGGAACCTTGGGTGGCATGGTCATTGTGCGCCGTGAAAGCATGTTAGCGAAAAGGTCACCTCAGGCAAAAGAAATGGGGTCTAAGAGTAAAGATACTTACGGGCCAAGGGTTCTAAAGATGCTTCCGGATTGAAAAAACCGTACTTTCTTAAGTTGGCAATAGTCACAAGTAGTCTCGCATCGCGACTCTACTCGGGTAGATGACTGAAATGTCACAATTCGGTTAAAGTCTGTCAGAGCCATCAATCTGGTCATTTTATTTTCTGCAAAGAGACAAAAAGTTCATTAAATATAAGATGAGCTGAAGAAAAAGGGATAGTTCGCGAATCAAAGGAAAAGAAAACATACTCGGCTCTCTAAATTGGCAAACACTATCATATTCAAAAAATAAAAATTTGGTCTCATAAGCCCAACGTTACTGAGTAACCAAATATTCCTTCATCGATCGTAGATCGCTTCGAGAGCTAAAAAGAGTATTTATCTCTACTCTTCTTTAGATAGTAAGCGCATGAAAACTCCAACGCTGTTAGCTTGTCAAGACCTTTTTTTCCACATGCGATATACATAGCAACCACTATCATATACGCATTAGGCGTCAATTGTAATGGCGTGACCTCAAAGTGGTTGAGGATCGATCTAATGAAGGGGTGAAAAGGTATCAATGCCTTACACTTAAAGATCGCCTCAAAGATCGCGACCATTCCCTCTAGGGGATTCTGAGCTGTGTACGTCTTATGCTGGTAGACATAAATGCTAAGCGTGAAGTGGTCCATCTCTTTTTGTATCTCGTCTCGGGTGGCAAATGATAATGCTTCTTGCATGGGACTTGCTGAGGTGCCTGGCTGGCCTGGTCGCTGAAGTATCCATTGCTCCTAAAGTCTAAAAAAGGGGTGACATGCAAAGATAACTCAGTCTCCATTCAGTGTTCCGAAAGATGACGTGGAAGAGCGAAAGAAACCTTAATTTACCTTTCTTAACCCCTAGAAAAACCCTAAAACCCCTTGGGAATGAATCCCCAAGAATCCGTGCCCTAAGTTCTCACTTTTTATAAAGAAAAAAGTTTTCTTCTTACCACTGTCCAGAAACATGCACCATGTAAGCTTATTAGGCAATTCATACCTACCATTACCATAAAATCAAGCTTTTAACAAAAATAATAGAAGAAAACAAAAGAGAAGTCCTCCTTACCTCTTGACTGCTAGGAACGAACATCCTGTCGTAATGAAGAGTGCGCATCAACTAGAAGAAGAACGGATTGATTTCGTGAGTGCAAGAGTTTTGTTTTTCTCTCTGAAAATGTGAGTTTTGTGATAAAACTTGAGGTGAACCTGGGGTTTTGTAATGATGATTGGTTTCCGTAAGCAAGCGACACTTGGGCAGGATACGTTTCTCACCATTGATTATGACCACGTGTCGTTAATCCACGAGAAGAGTAACCTTCACGCTTCGTGGATGCCAATCAACGTTTCCCTCCATTGGAATAACCAAGCGTTGGCGCAGTTATCTCATCTACATTAAATGCGCCATCATCCACATTTAATGCTCTGAAAAGGAATGTTGTTTCAGCATGACTTACATTTAATGTGCATGGCTAGCACTTATTGTGCAATAGACATGTCTATCATAATAAAGTTTATTTTATTGACCAGACTAGTTGTCAAGCGCAACGGATAGCATCTAAAGAGGTCGTTCGAGTAAAACACTCTTGCAGTGTATCGATTTCGGGACGTTGTGTTCCTAGTTTTTGGTAAAAATGTGCTAAGTATTTTCAGGTCGTGAGTGACGGATGAAATTCAAAGCATGTTGGTATAGCACTGAGTAGGTTTTGACTCAAGTTGCTAAACTTGTGGGAGAAGGCCGCCTCAGGTCGCTTGTGCTATTCTTAGATACCTATGCTGCGACCTCCTTACAGCTCGATGGTTGGGTTGAACCACTAGTTTCACATTATCTTAACTGCTTGTGTTATACAGCTCGATCATGCGTCACTCGAGATAAGTCAAGCCACGACATAATCATGAAGTTCTCAAGGTTCAATCCTTAAACCTTTAAAACTTTGGGGGGGGGGGGGGGTGCAGCTTCTATTTTGCCTAAAAAATTAGGGTCGATCGAGCTCACGCCAGCAAGGGCCAATTAGAGTTCAGGAAGGCTTTGTGTCGTCTAGACATTGCCACGTCGCGCAAGGTTGGAAGAGGTAAGGCCATCATCAATGTGGCAGGTGAATGTCAGGCTTGTAAGTGGCTAGGAATTGTCCACCTGCCCAAGCCCTATGCGAATTAAGGATGTCTCCCAGTGCAGACAACCAATGGGAAGATGGTTAGGAATTGTAGTACACTTACCCGACTGTAGAATCATGATTACTCCCTTAAATCCCCCAACTATAAATAGAGGGCTCCTTTTTCATTTACGAGATTGACTCATCTTTAGTCTTCAAAAGCATACACACACACACACTCACTCTCTCTATATTTCAATTCTCTCAAGGTTGTAATTCAGCTTGCTGTATGCGGCCTGATTGTAAACATCTATTAATACAATCCTAGTGGATGTAGGATTCACTTTGAGCATCCGAACCACTTTAAAAACCGCTTCTCATTTATTCTCTCATTACATATTTTTATATCACGTGTAGTTTCTAAGTCCGCTTAGCACTTTGCACGTGCAAGTCGTTGGTGTCAAAATCAAGCATCAACAATATATATTATGATAGAGTTGGTTCACATGATCTCTCGGAGGACCCTCCAATAACTTAAAAGCATATACAATACGAAATTCTTACCTATCTAAAATCAAGCACAAAACAATCAGGCGCAATTAATAAAATAGAATAAGACCTATTTCATTGGAGTCTAGTGTGAGTGGTAGTTGTCGAGTCCATTGTTTAAGTTAGTGGAGTTAGTGGTTGCTATTTTTTTGTTTAGTTGCTAATTCTTAGTTGATGTAGTACCTATAAAAGGCTTTTGTTTTACTCAATAAATGTATCAATTATTTATTTAATATTAATATTATTATATTATTATTATTTAGATTATATTTTAACCCTCTATATTTGAGAATTTAGCTAAAACACTCACAATAAAAAGTTTAAAAATTAACAAAAACACTCTAATCGCCCAACAGGACAGTTGATTGCCGACCACCATCATCAGTCGGTAGTCATCAAAACGGGGCACGACTGGTTGTTTGTACATTGACTTGGCCGTTGTTAACGGTTGGTTGTGTGCCGTTCCCGCGATTGCTAGTTGTCGGTTGGTGGTGGTGGCCAGTGTCCAGCGATTTCTAGTCATTGGCTGGTCGTGGTGGCCGATGGCTAGCAATGGCGACGACAGTGGACTCGGTGGTCGGTAGTTGTCGAAAGGTGGTTGGTAGTCGTCGAAAGGTGGTTGGGGTGTTATGGGTAAATTGTTTTAAGAATAAGGGTAATAATGTCCTGAAGTTTTATTTGTTAGAAGTAACCTTACAACAAAATTAAGATTACCAAGTTATTTTAAAATACCTAAGAAAATAATGATATCCAGATTATCATCTATATAACTAACAGTAATTACTATTGATTTTAAAGGATTACCAAAATCTTATATTACTTGACAACCAAACGTGATAATATCAATAATATAAAATACATTACTAGAGTTACGTAACATTCACCCTAACTAAGCAGGCCCTTACAGATATGCTCATCTTTCACTTCTTTTCACATACATTGTGGATAGTTGTAGGTAAAGACAACAAATTAATACAATAATGGATGTGACCAAAGTTGAAGACAGCTACATGGTATTTAATTGTGGATAGTTAAAGACCGAGAAACACCTAGGTCCACGAATGCCTTTGATCTTAAACTTTACTCCTGGGAAAGTTACAATAATTGATGGTAAATATATTACGACAGAGTTCATTTTTCATAGCTATATGTATTTGATTATTTGATGTTCCGCAAGGATGATGAGATGATTAAATTTATGCTCATCAATGATATTTAATTTTCCATGTATATATATGTTTCAGAGAAAGAAAACTAAATAAATATGGCAACAATAGAACAACAATTTCAACACTCTTTATCTTTCCCTTATCTTTTAGTTTATGAAAGGTAAATGTGAAAGAAACAAACAATCAGGGAGCAAATCTAGAATTACAGAAACAGAACAACGGTGATGACGACAACTATGTGTAAATGCTAGAGGTAGATGGCAGAAGGTGAAAGATAAAGTTAAAAGTAATTTATTAAAAAAAGAAAAAGAAAAAGAAATAAAAATGAACGTTGCAACAAGTCTTTTAACCTGTGTGGTCTTGGAATTAAAAGATGAACCGTAATAATCAATTGAAGTAGCTGACAAGCTGTCTCGTTTTTTTTTTAATCAAGATGTCTGTGTCAGTTTGATTGTACACTTCAATTATTCTCGGGATTTATTGAATATACTATAAGCTCAAAGCATATGATAAATCATAATATAATTGTTTTTCATGAATAATAATTGATAAATTTTCTTGAAGTTCAGACCAACAACTATCTTGTCTTTTATGAACAATAATGGATAATTGTAAAACTATTTAATTAAGATGCTGTTACAAACATATATCTCTTCATCTTTCACATTCATTATTCATGCTACCTTGTTATATATATATATATATAACTTAAAGTGCTGCGTACAGTCATTCGCTCTTGTAACAGTTTTCCTTTCTTACATAAACCAAAATTTCCATGGAGAAAAACGCTGAAAGCTCCCAGGCGCCTAGACCTGGAGAAGAAGACCTAAGCAAAGAGATTGAAGAACTTTGTCTTAAACCTTCCAACAGAGAAAAATTGGGATGGTTCTTACCTCTATCAATACCAAGGGTTTTGGTGTCCATCTAGGCACATTCATGGCACGATCTCTTTTCAGAGGCGCTTCCAAGCACAAGATACAGACATAATATTAACGTCCTTTCCCAAATCTGGCACCACTTGGCTAAAGGCCCTCACCTTTACAATCGTCAATCGATTTCGCTATGAATTAAAAGATAGTCCTTTGCTGACTACATCCCCTCATGATCTGTTACCTGTAAATCAGATTCAGCATTCAACGCACAATCAAACCCCTACTCTTGAGGAATTTCCTACGCCAAGGATTTTCGCAACTCATATCCCATATGCTTCACTTCCGGTTTCCATTGTTAATTCTAATTGTCGTATTGTTTATGTATGTAGGAATCCCTTGGACCAGTTCATCTCCAATTGGCATTTCCTACTCGAACTTCGAGAGCAAACCAAGGAGCCGATTTCATTAGACGAAGCTTTCGAGATGATATGTAATGGAATCCAAGCTTTTGGCCCCATTTGGGATCATGTGTTGGGGTATTGGAAGGCCAGCGCAGAGAAACCACATAAAATATTGTTCTTGAAATATGAAGATCTGAAAGTTGGCATCAACTTTTATGTTAAGAAACTAGCAGATTTCTTAGGATGTCCTTTCTCTAAAGAAGAAGAAAGTCGAAATGTGATTGAAGAAATATCAAAATTCTGCAGTTTCGATAACATGAAAAAATTAGAAGTGAATAAAAATGGTAGACTCAATGACGGGATTAAAACTAAAGTCTTCTTTAGGAAAGGGTTGGTGGGAGATCATACAAATTATTTAAACTCCTCAATGTCAGAGCGCCTGGACAAGATACTAGAAGAGAAATTGGGTGGATCTGGTTTCACATTCAAAAAACCATAGATGTTGTAAAAGGATATATAGTATTGTTTAGTGATGTTTGATTATCAATCTTCTTTATGTATTTGCATGATCGAAGTAGTTTATTTATAAATTTTCCTTCAGTTAATCCCATATCCCAGAATCCAAACAATCTCACATGTTGTCTTTGCCATGGCTTTGTATTCTGCCTCTGCTGAAGAAAGGGATACAGTTGATTGTTTCTTTTTTTTTTTTTCCAAGAAATAAGAGCTCCCCCTAGCTTGATGTAGAAACCTATAAGTGATTTTCTTGTCATTGGACATGTGGCCGAGTTTGAGTCACAATGAGCTATGATATCCAAACCTTTGTCTCGAGGAAGGAGAAGACCTAAGCCAAGACATCCTTTTAAGTATTTCAGAACCTTTATCGCAGCATCCATGTGAGATTGTTTAGGCTTATGCATGAAGTGACTAAGGATGTGGACCCCATAACTGATGTCTGGGTGAGTCATGGTGAGGTAGATTAATCGCCCAACAAGTCTTTTATAATTTGTGGGGTCTTCCAAAGGTGGATCAACTTTAGTAGATGATTTCTCATTGTCGTATTCCTGAGTAGTCAATTTCGTGTTTTGTTATACTGGAATAAAACTTGGCTTGCATCTCGATAACCCATAATCAGAAATCAATTCCAAGACATACTTCCGTTGGCTGAGAGATATTCCTGCCGGGGATTGTGCAATTTCGATTCCTAGGAAATATTTTGGTTCTCCTAGATCTTTTATTCGGAATTGTCTGTTGAGATGCTCTTTCAAGGATTTGATGCCTATGTCATCATTTCTTATAATAAGAATGTCATCTACATAGATGATTAGAGCAATAAAGTTTTACCTTTGTGTCAGGTGAATAATGCATAGTCATTTTTGGACTGAACAAATCCTATGCCAATGAGAGCTTTGCTGAATTTCTCATTCCATTGTCGGGATGCTTGTTTGAGGCCATAGAGGGATTTTCGCAGATGACATACTGTATTCTCCCCCTTTCTGCGAATGTTAGGAGGAAGATCCATATAAATTTCTTCATGAAGATCACCATGAAGGAAAGCATTGCTAACATCCATTTGATGGAGAGACCAATCATGAACGGAGGCCACTATAAGGAAAGTACGAACAATGACATGTTTGGCTACTGGTGAGAATGTCTCTTGATAATCAAAGCCCTCACACTGAGTGAAGCCTTTAGCTACTAATCGAGCTTTGTAACGGTCGATGGATCCATCAGCACGGAGCTTGATTTTGTAAACCCATTTACAACCAATGGGTTTTCTGTGAGAGGGACGAGTCACTAGATCCCAAGTATGATTCTAAGTCAGAGCAGTAAGTTCATCAGCCATTGATTGATGCTAGTGAGAGTATTGAACAACATCTGAGTAACTAGTGTGTTCTCGATCGGTGGAGATGTGACTGATATAGGCTATGTGTACAGGAGAGAGACGTCCATAACTCACATAATTGGAGGTATGATATAATGTACCTGGGGAATTGGAAACAGTAGGACATTCATAATCTTCTGTCCAGATTAGAGGCTAAGTCTGTCGAGTACTGTGGCGTGTGGGAATAATTAGAACTGGAACAGTGGATCCTGTGTGGAAACAATTGGAATAGGGGATCCGGGTGAGGAACCAGTGGTAGGAATCTGAATAGGTGTTTCTTCTTAAGGATTATTAGTGGCTGCTGTATCAAAATCATTGGTGATGTAGTCAGGCTGAGGAACCAGAGGATCCGGTATCATATAAAATAGAGGATCCTGTTGGATAGTATCTTCAGGAAGTAGACTGGGTGATGTAGATGTAGTAATGGTATCTCTGGCAAATGGAAAAGTGTCTTCATGAAACACAACATCTCTGGAGATCAGGAACATGTTTTCAACTGGATCATATAGCCTGTAACCTTTATGAAGCATAGGATATCCCATAAATATACAATGGGTGGCCCGGGTACCAAACTTGTCATGGGAGCCAACGGTGGCAGCATAACAAATGCAACCAAAAACTCGAAGGTGGTTAAGAGCTGGTAGCTTCTTGAACGGCATCTCATAAGGAGTCTTACCATGAAGAACTCTGGTTGGCATGTGATTGACTAGGTATGTGGCTATGATCACACAATCGCCCCAAAAAGAAACAGGTATGTGGGCTTGGTGTTTGAGGGCACAGGCTACTTCAAGTAGATGATGGTGTTTTCTTTCGACAACCCCATTTTGTTGTGGTGTATATGTGCAAGAGCTTTCATGCAGAATGTCAAGAAATAAAAATAGAGATGAACAATTATAATTAAAGAACTCCTTAGCATTGTTGGTTCTAACTCTTTGTATAGAAGTACGAAACTGGGTGGTGACCATGGATAGGAAATTCTCAATGTGAGTAAGTGTTTGAGATTTGGATTGCATGAGGAATGTCCATGTACCCCGGGAAAAGTCATCGATAATGGTGTGGAAAAATCTAGATCCATCATGATTTGGGGTGTGATAAGGCCCCCAAATATCAAGATGGATTAAAGCAAAAGGTTAGGTTGTAGTGAAAGTGCTATGTGGAAAGGTAATGCGGGCTTGTTTAGCCAATGGACGTATAGGACATTGAGGGTGAGGGATAGTTGCCCTCTGACCTAATCGTTGATGAAGAATAAAGGAATTTTTATTAATCATCGTATTACAATGGGAAATTTTATTTTGACTACAAGTAGGAAAACTTTTAGGAGACTCAACAGGTGCCCAGTAGTATAGAACTCTATTGACTTTACCCAAGCCCATCAGTTTCCCAATCGAAGGGTCTTGAAATTTACATGTGTTAGGACAAAACTCTACAGTGCAACTATTGTCTTCACATATTTTGGATACTGAGATAAGATTAAAATGAAATGCAGGAACACATAACACATTTTTAAGTGATAAAGTGGCAGATAAGTGGATAGTTCCTATATGAGTAGATGGGGTGATATTTCCGTTCGGCATACGAACGGAAGTGGATGAGGTAGTGGAAATTGTGGTAAAAAAATTTGGGTGACAAATGATGTGATCACTAGCCCCTGAATCAATAATCTACATATCAGTTGTGAGTACATTAAAACAATAAGAGGTACATGCATAAGATGCGGTGGGAGCAGTCGGGGCATTGTTTAGTAATTGGAGCTATTGATTATATTGTTCCGGGTTGAGAGTAGGTGCTTACTGATTTCCAAGAGAAACTTGGAAAGAAGAATAATGACCATTTCTCTCTTTGTTGTTGGAATCCGGATGACCATGTAATATCCAACAATGGCCTTGATCATGATTTCTTCTTTTGCAATAATCACAATATAATCGATTTTTATTGGATCTTGAATTTCCCGACCCATTTAACCCAGATCTAGACCCGTTTGACCCATTTTCAAATCCAGTTGACCCGGTTGACCAAGAAGTTGACCTGTTTGACCCATTGCGTGACACGACACAATTGGAACCGTGAGATGCGTTTAAAAACGCGATGAGTTTCTAGTCGTCAGATCTCAAGATTGAATTTGAGCCTTTCATCTCATCATATATAAGAGAAGGTTTTTCACCTTCATTGTGCCCTAGCCGCTGTGAATCCCCATTTTCTCTCAACCCTGCCAGCACCATTGAATCCGGTGATGTTCTGTCATAGTTCAACTGGCATTGGCTTTCATCTTGCATCGCTAGTTGAAAACTTTGGCAGAGAGAAGGTGGTGGAGATGCAGCCAGTACCTGTGTCCTGAAAGAGAGAAAATTGTCATTTAATCCAAGAAAAAAATGCAACAATCAGTCACGATCTCGCATTATGTGGTATTGATTGAGTGTTTCTGGTGGCCCCTCAAGCGTTTCTTCGGCAGCGTCTAACTCATTCTAAACGACAGAGAGCCGATTGAAATAACTGGTGACCGAGTTGTTCCCTTGCTTGAGTTCGATGAGACGTTGCCAGAGAGTGAAAATTTTGGCAAGATCGAGCTTCCCATACATCTCCTTGATGTTAGCCTAGATTTCGACAGCCATTTCTGTTGGTGGGAGCCCAGCTGCAACCTCTGACGAAAGGCAATTGCTGATCCATGAGCAGACCAGCATATTGCAACGATTCTAGTGGTGTTGAAGATGAGGTTGCGGCAGTGGTTGAAAAGCCCCATCAAGAAATGGATCTTTGTCTTTGGTGAAGAGGGCTTGCTAGAAATCGCGAGACCAGGAGGCATAGTTGTCAGATCCGGTGAGGGTTTGTTTGATGAGGACTAATTCAAGTCCATCGGAGACCGGTGAGAAGGGAACATCGCCTGGTTCAGGGCGATTGTTCCCGGCGACTGAAATGATTCGAAAAAGGTGCAAGTAGGGATTTGGATTCGAACCCGATGCTGTAATAGAATCCGGGTTGTAACCCGATATTCCAAGAGAGGCTGGGTCAGGCCTTGAATGGGTAAAAGATTCTGGGTTGTAACCCGACATTCCAAGAGAGGCTGTGTCAGGCCTTGAATGGGTAAAAGATTCCGGGTTGTAACCCGGCATTCCATATGGATAACGGGTTGGGTCAGGCCTGTTTTGAATTGTTTGGGCTTAAGTTGTAGTAGGTAGAGATTGGTTGTTTGGGCCGGAGCTGTGTGGGTTGTCTGTGGTGATTTGGTTGTTAGTTGGGCCGTTTGGGTTTGTTGTAGCTGTATTTGGGTTGAGTTCCATGCTGAAGGTTAATGGTGTTTTTTGATTATTTGCAGGGACAAAGAGAAAGAAGCTAAGTTGAAAGGCAAGCGGAAGCTGTTAGTTGTGCTATGATACCATGTAAGGAATCGAGACAAAGACCAAGAGTATTACAAAGAGAAGCAGTTCAAGACAATGACACTACCAGAGTATGCCCAAGAAAAGAGAAAGAGATAATAAATTTGAATATCCAATATATTGAAAGCCTGTACAATTAGCCAATTTATAAATCTTTGTAAATGTAAGAAAAGGAAAGTAATGACTATAAAAGATCTTTGTAATTGTTTAATCAATCACTTGAATTAAATTGATTGATTGAAACTCTAATTACTACTTAATTTTAGCTAACAGAGATTTAGGGAAATCAATCAAAGGCATTCCATATTTGGTCAAGTAAAAAACGAATAACGAATAAAGTTAGGATATTAAATTTGTATCAGATCTATATGGTATTAACAATATCTCCTTTATTATGAGATGATGGGATAGGTGAATTAATTTGTCAAATCAATTATCAAAATCCAACTGTATGTAGCATT